TGCAGTTCAGCTAAAAAGTCCCTGAATTTTTCTCATGTGACTGTTGTTTGCAGAGGAGTCATTAATTACTTTCTGGCTGCACCGAGAAGCTCAGAATTGTTTTCGTTTTTTTTTACAAAGTTTAGTCAAAGCTAAGGGTTTCATTTTAGCATGCAGGAAAAAGTGATTGATGAAACACATGGTTTTCCAATGCAACAGCACATCAGATATTTGTTTAAGGACTGCTGAAAAGTTTATTATTTGATTTTACAGTTTCTGGCTAATAAATTGAGGAATTACAGAAATATTTTCAAAAGACAACATGCCTTTTAAACCTGCCAGCAGATTTTGGAGTTCAGTGGGTTAATCTTTAAATTTTAAGAACATCCAAAATTGTGTTGTAGCAAAAATGTTAAATATATCCATATTTAGGTAAATTAAATCAAGTAGCATCATAAAGCCACTGCCTGCCTGAATACATAGTGATGAAACCAACTTAATCTTTTCCCATAGCTACAGGTTCCTCGTTGTTTTGGTTTTTTTGTAATTATGAGATGTCGATAACAAGAACTCTCATGTGGACCTTACAGCAGGCCTGAGGTCAGCTCTTTTAAACCTGTTCAACAGTTTCACTTTGAGGCTGCTTCATCCTAGTGCAGGTCTGAGGTCCAAATTGAGAATCTGAGGGTTCAGGTGAGTCCCGAAGGAGAAGCAGTTTCCTCCTCCACCGACCAGGATCAGCTCTTCTGGGTCTGTCAGCTCCGAGCAGAACGATTGGAGCATCAGAGGCCACGGCACCGAGCTCTGCAGAGGGAACAACACAGTAATTCATCATTCACCATCATCTAATAGATCTATACTGAGGACACCGGTGACAATGCCCCACTAGACGGCTTTATATGAATTTCTTTAAAGAGAATATTTTAATCTTTTAATCTCTAATCATTTCAAATAATGTCCCTATGAGGTATAAAGTTAACTAAAAAAGAAACATTAAACATTTAGAGGATGTCTGGAAGACGATGTCAGATTATAAAGAAAGATAAAATGTTATTCATCCTGAAGGAGTTTCTAAAATGTACACAACGCTAACAATGCAGTGTCTAAAAAGTAGAAAAGCAATAAGATGTAAGTATGATACAACCGTGAAATAAAATAAGTAAATAAGATAGAATAGAACAATAACAAGTCATGGTGTAATTATACTGAGGGAAATGTATGATACATGACAACAGAAAAACCAACATTCAAAAAATGTTTTCATGATGTTGTCGAGGACTCAGAAGACAGAATATGTTTTTATAAAATGTTCCTGTGATTTGATATAATAACAAAAGTCGAACATTATGCCTGCAGTGTTCTGAGGATGTTTTGGGGATGTTGCTTGTGTAAAACTTTCCCACAACGTTACATGATAACAAAGACAAGACGTTCTGAACGCAGCATTTGGAAAATGTGTAAAGAACATTTTCAGAGCATCTTTATCCTACTTTTAAGAAGAAAATATTTGGAATTAAAAGAACACTTCTTGCAGAAAACATTACTAGAACTTTCTCACAGCGTTTGATGCTGGTTTACAACCTGCAGCCTTCTGATGTGTCAGTCACTCATAAATAACTGCTGCAGACATGTGAGTGAAAACTGACCGTGTCCAGACTGAACTCCACGCTGCTGCATGTTTCCATGTTGATGATGAGGACGCCCGGCACCCCGTCTGGATGCAGCCAGACTCCACCCACAATGACCAGCTTCTCCCCACACACATGGGCACACTGAGAGTATCTGAAACAAAGCACAGGATCGCATTAGGAAGTTTCTGAGGAGGCAGAAACTTGAGGACTGAGTGTGACTGAACGTCTCTCAGAGACCTGGGAACCGGAGGAGGCTGAACATCTAGTCTCTCCCAGCTGAAGCCTCTTTCAGTCGGCTTTAACAGCACCGTGTCTCCCAGTGGTGCTCCTCCTCTGCTCAGGCCTCCAAACACCACCACACCTCCCTTATATGAACAAGCTGAGTGGGAATGTCGAGCCTCTGGAGCTGCGCCCCCTACTGGCATCTGCGGATGAAACATACAAAACACAATGCAAGAAACAGTCCAACTGATTCAAACTTATAAAATATGCTAATCTTCTATTAATCCCACAGAAAGGAGGTTTGCAGTTACAGCACAGGATTGAAAAAAAATGTACTGACATCAGTAAAAAAAAGAAAAGAAAGAAAGAAATATGCATAAGCACTGTTGATGAGTCTCTCTAAGCAATTAGACGAGAGATCTGTTACACGAGTGTGTGAAGTCATTTTGTGAAGACTTTTCCACATTTTAGCACCAATCTTTGATCTTAAAACATCACAGAGACCACAAATCACAAAACACATTTCTCATTTACTTTGTTTCTAAATTTCACATCTATTACAAACTGAAAATTCCATAAAAATCTAACTTTACAGCAATAAAGACAGAGTCTGCTACAGATCAGATGAATGACTTTCATCAATAATGAACATAATTCAGGTTTTAACCAACAAGAGCTGAAGTTCACTTTGTTGCTTCCAACTGCTTGTAGGATTTTTTCCTCTAAGTTTAGTAAATATCTGCAGCATTAAACAGCAGCAGGATCCATATGAGCGCCTCAATAGAGTTTTAACTCTATTACTTATAATTATAAATGATCCCTGATATGAAGACAGGATGGATCAGGATCTAACAGCAGCTGTGTACTTTTCCGTCATCTCAGAGTCACAGTTTATGTGCTGCAGGTAAATCTTTAGTTTCATAGCCGTACTCAGCTTGAGCCCTGAGCTCCATCACAGCTGTCGGGATGTTTTTGTTTTACTCTTGGAAAAGCAGTGAGATTTTAATCACACATGGACCAATTTTACAGTTTAGGAAATCATACGTAAACTAGACTGTGAGACTGTTGTAAGTTTAGATACAATCTTTTGTGTTTTAGTGCATTATTATGTTTCATACATTGTTATCATCATGTGAGACCCAGAAGAGAGAAACGACATGATTAAAGTGCCGTCAGCGTGTGTGTGACATCAAGACTCCTTTAAATAAAATAACAAAGAGCACACCTCAGTCCAGTGCTGCTGGTCCAGACTCAGGAAGAAGCTGTCGCCCAGCGCGGCCTCTGATTCGTTCTTTCCTCCAAAAATACACACAAAGTTTCTGCCTGCACATAAAATGACAAGTATTCAGTGTGTTATGAGTAAACAGAGGTGGAATGAAAGAAGAAAGAAGGAGAAAGATCAATAGAGAACAAGAGCATATGACAGGCCATTTGAACATTTCTGAGCTGTTTGATAATCAGAGTTGACATTAGCGATATCAATATAGTCGTAGTTACGTTGTGACTGGACTTTTATTCCAGATACTTATGACGTCATTCTGACCAGTCTACACCACAGATAGAGGTCTCTTTATTTCCTTACAATCAGAATATGACCGTAATTAAAGACTCTAGAAAGGACAATGTAGATGTGTTAAACTAAGGAGAAATAAAAATATCTTGAGCTAGAATTATGACTAGTCAGAAATTAACTGCAGATGCCTGAAAGTGGAATTACAACTAGCCAGACGTCAGCTGAGAATTTTGGGGTTCTGATATTTACACTTTATACAGGAATGAGGTGTGTGTTATCTTCAGGGTGGAAAAAAAGGCACCAAAGTGACAACCAAATTGATCTATGCAGAAAAAAAAAAAACACCAAGATAACCTAACCAAAAGTAACAAACCAAAATACAAGCGCTTGCAATCCTACAGGAGATAATGATTAAAAAATAAGAGCTCTTAAACCCTACAAACTACAACAGGCAGCTGAAAACCTAGTGGTAAAAATGACGCTGGAAGAATGATGCTGTGGAGATGTGAAATGCTCTTTTTAGAGCAGGAAGAATTGGGTTATCTGCAGTACACATCCAGTCAAGCTATTAAATGTTAAAACTGTTTGCCATAAGAGCATCAGAAAGAAAGTGCACAAGAAAAATGGCAAAAGGAAGAAGGAAAGAGCAAAAGAAAAGAAAAAACTACAAGAATGCAGGACAGAGCGAGGCAGCAGACCACTTTAGCCTTTCTGCTCATCAACACTGCACATGCTTTTATTAACACTGTTTAACCTGCACAAGCCCTTTTTGCACTATTGTTCCGTAGATTGAATATTGCCTGCCTCAGAATTCACAAGCAGATTGTAACTTTCCTGCATCATGCATACTGCTAATATTTATTTAATATTTTTCTTTTTTTTGCACTGTTCTTGTATATTCATCTTTGTTATTTCAGTATTTATGAACACATGTAAGTGTTCTGAAAATATGTTAAACACAATGAATAAAGAATTTCACTGCGCTGATTTCTGTTTATTTATTTATCGCTGCATGTGACAGTAAATCCTCTGAATCCTTTCTCACCTTTGTGACCGACCACAGTCGCTGTGTGCCTCCATCTTGGCGACGGCGGATCTCCAGTACAGACCAGCTGCTCCACACAAACCGTTGCTCCACCCTCTGACTCCAGACAGCCAGCTGGACCACTGGGGTCAACAGCCACTCTGAGGAGGCCTCTGGTTGGGCTGAGTGGGGAGGAGCGACCTCCGAACACCATGACGCCTCCTCCAGGCAAAGCAGTAGCCGTGTGGTGGAGCCGCACACCTGGGATCAGCGAGGGAGAAGTTAATCCTGTAATTTTTCTCTCTACATGTAGCAGAAAGAGTAAAAGCAGCTCTCACCCAGATCTGCAGACGGCTCCACGCTGACCAACCTCCAGCCCTCCTGACCTCTGAGGAGGACACTGCTCGCTGCCCCTCTGCCTCCTCTGCTGGAGCCTCCGGTCAGCAGCAGCTGTCCCGGCCTCACCGAGGTGGACGCCATCCCCAGCCCCTCCATGGACACTGGTACGGTCTGAACGCTCAGTGCTGTGGGGCTCCAACAGGGGCTAACGGAAGGCACTGGAGACACTGAGCAAACAAAACAAACAGAAAGTCTTAAAGATGTCAAAGAAGAAATGGTGTCTTTCAGGGACATGAAGCTACCTGGAGGATGAGCGAGTAAAGCCTGCTCAGTCAAACAGCCTCGAGATGCCGTCAGGATGAAGTAGTGGGAACATTTCTGGTGCCATTCCTGAAAGCAGACACACCTACAGTCACTTCGCTCACCGTTTCTTCAAGAAAGTCTGATTTTATGAAGAATGCAGCAGAACCCAGCTGACCTCGTATTCATCAAAAGGCTCCAGGCTCTCCACTCGACCTCGCTCCTCCTCCGGGACCAGCCCCAAGTAGAAGTCATTCATATCCAGACACACACACTGCTCCCAGCCCTGAACACAGACACACACATTCAGGTTTAGGCTGCTGAGTGTCATCAAGTTGTTTTCTACTGACTGAACCTCTGTGCATGCTCTGACTGGAGGAACCTGTACAAACTCTTCCAAGGTAGAACAAAATGCACCAGCTGCTGATTGGTTAAACTTAGAAGACAATAAGAGCCGTTTTATCTGCTTTCTCAATGTCTTTTCTCCTTATCCCTCTGAACTCAACGCAGCAGTTTGTGGGCGTTTCTTTGCTTCTGTCACATTTTTCCTCACTGTGGCCTCATTTTTTCACTGCAACATAAAGTCCTGCACCTCTAGCAGAGTCATGGCTAGAAGGAGAGAGAATTCCAAAGTGTATTCTGTCAGTATGACACAGTTATAATGCTATGAATCATAAAAAAGAAAAAATATATATATTCTATTAATTCTATATTGATTTGATTTATTACAAAAATGATACAAATCTGGACTAAACATGTACAACGTTGTTCCAAAAAATGGTGTCTTTATTATAGATGTTTTACAAGTTACTTTCTACTTTGCTCCCGTACTTCACTTCACAAACACAGCCTGCAGTTCAGCCGAAAACTGTCTGAATTTTTGCCAAATGACTGTTGGTCACAGCTGAGTCACTAATGACTTCTTGGTTGCATTGAGAAGCTCAGAATGTTTAGATTTTAAATAGAATTTAAGGTCTATTATTGGTAATTTTTAAACCTAGACATGTAAAGACATTTTGATAAAATATTACAATTTGAAGCTTAGATTTTTACATTTCGAGGACAGATCAACGAATGAGTAGTCCACTGTCTGACTGACAGACTGGAGCAAAGTTCACAATTTGTTGATTCTGTTTTAAGGCTTCTGGCTGATAAATGGTGTCCTTTTTAACTTGCCTTCAGAAACTTGCATTGGGGTTTAGTGTTCAGAGGGTTAAAAGCAACATTAACAGGATGCATTGAGTACACTGTGTATAATGTGCGTACTGGCCTTGTCCAGGAACCTCTGCCTCTGTGCCGAGGTGTCTGGGTATTGTTGGAGGGCGTGCAGAGTCGAATTCAGTTTCAGGAAATGTTCTTGCATGATCCGACCAAAAGCGTCGTGTGGATGGATCTGCTCGTACATCACAAACAGGGACTGAGGCAGGAGCTTTGCTGCCCAACTGATGACAGCGTCTGACCTGGAAGACACACGACACACAGCAGCTTTAAACAAATACATACTGTAACTCGCCTAAGTGCATTTGAATTGACCCTCTGAACTCCAGGAAGTTTCTGTAAGTTTTTTTTTCTGTCACATTTTTCCTCACTGTGGCCTCATTTTCACTACAATATAAAGTCCTGCACCTCAGCGGAAACAACAGAACCATGACAAGAAGGAGAGAAAACTCAGAAATGTCTTCTGTGCCACATTTAGAATGGCAAAAATCATAAAAAGAAAACATGAAAGTTGAATTTCTTCAATTATTTATTTTACAAAAATTGAAAAAAAAAATGGAATCAATCTGTACAACATTTTCCCAAGTTCCCAGAGGTGTTACCAAAACTGGAAATAAAAAGGTCACTTACATAAAAGAGACATTTTAGTGCTCACATTTAAAATGTTTGTCTTTACTTGTCTCCTCTCTGCTCCGACTAAACAGCCTGCAAGTGACTGTTGGTTGCTGCTGAGTCACTAATGGTTTCTTGGTTGCTCTGAGCAGCTTATAATTTGTAATTTTTTTTTTTACAGAATCTGGTTACAACGAACACTTCATTTTGGACAATTTTTATATGAGACATAGAATAAATACATTTTGGTGAAATATGATTTTAAGCCTAGATTTACCTAATGGACTGCTCCATGACAGTTCTGGGGCCATTGAAAAGCTGAAAATCCCCAGTTATCTTTGTTTTTCTATTTTCTGACCCTGATAAATGGTGCAATTTTGTTTATTTTTTTTAAAAAGACAACACGACTTTCAGGGGTCAGAGGGTCAGCACAAATTTTAAAATGCATGTTATATTTCTGCACCTTTGAGTTTCCATGTAGGTGAGCACCACCTCAGAGAGAATGAGTGTGGGGGCAGCCCAGTCCAGCCCGGCTGCACACAGAGCCTCCTCCACCTGGGACTCCTCCCTGACATCCACCCCTAACAGACGGTACCGACTGCTGGACACAAATAAAGGTCCTGAAGAGACACAGGCGTACGTAAACTTAAAATATCCACATAATGTATACGACAAACACAGTGAACAGAGATGACAAACCTGTAGTTGAAGGTGCATGGGAGTCTAACATCCCCCTCAGTGTCATGTTAGAGCTGATCAGCGCGGACTTTCGCCGCATGACGTCAGGAAAATCCACCTCAAACACAACAGCACTGTCCAGGGCCCCATCTGCATGCAGACGGAAATACAAGGAGTCGAACCCTGCACCCAAAGACAGAATCTAAGAGACAGGGAGTGAGATACAAACATAAAACACACTTCATCATGGAAACCTTCTATACGACATAGTGTTGGACAGCATGCTGCTAGCTTGCCTGTCTTTTGGTGCATGTTGCAGTAACCTGAAGGAACCTCCTCACACAGTGATCCACAGCTCTCCAGCGCACATAGTAGCCCCTAAAACATGCACAGAAACTTTAATTCATATTGATGTGAGCAAACAGTTCTGAGGCTGTTGCACGTGCACAGAGCGCATCGTGGGAACTGTCACGAGTCAGGAGATCGGACAACATCACAGTGTCATGGTTTTGGTGATTTCTCCATGGAGATCAAACATTCAGCAGCTGGATGATCCAACCTTTATGTGGAGGATCGTCATGGTGACCGGAGGAGAGTCTGCAGATACCATCAACAGAAGCAAGAAACAGTGGAACAGCTTTCAAAACGAGAGAAAGAGCATCAGGTTTGGTGTAAAGCTCATCATCTTCTTCTAGATTCAAGCGGTTGTGTATCGTGACTTCATCTTCTGGGGTCGGACTGTCAAAGCTCGACTGTAACATCCCGAGATGTGTGAGGAAGAACATTAAACCTGGACTGTGATGGCATGTTGCTGCTCCAGTGCACTGTGCCCACAATTAAGTTTTTTTTACCACAAAAAGACAATCGTTACTCTCCACCTGCCTACACTACACTACAGATTCGGCTCCCTTTGGCTTCTTCTTCTTCACCAAAATAAAATTCTAATGTTGCTGTCTTGACACATTTTAGGAGATTCACCTCATCGCAGATGGAGCTTGACATGTTTACATAAGTGTTGCAGGAGCACTGGGAGCAGAGTATCAGTGCACAGGAAGACTACTTTGACAGGATGGTGGTCAGATTTAAATCAGAAATCGTTTTTAATTTTCATAGGCCCAGTCTCAAAAGTTTTTGGCCAAACCTTGTCAAGGGTTTTGACACATACAGCGACCAGACAGACCATCTCACTTCCGCTTACTCTATTGCCCAAATTACTGTATACTTCCCTTGGACATGACAGCAACTTGATGTTATCCCAGGTGTGTTGGTTCTATATCCCTGCAGAAAATCAACCAACCATCTCCTCCTACTTTGTGTGTTCAACAACAGAAGAGTGTGAAAAGACAAAGACAGCTGCTGACCTGTTGATGAGAGGAGCTCTTCTGGCTACTTTGCATACAAAATGTTGGAGAAAGTCATCTTTGAAGTAGCCCTGAGCTGCAGCAGACACTTTGCTCACCACACTGCTGTCATTGGTTCCCTGGACCTGAGGTAAACAACAACAATAACATGCCACTAAATTACTGTATAAATGAACTTATTTTCTCTCTTTTTTTTTTTTTACTCCCTTTTACTCTTAAAAGGCTGACCTCTGCCTCACAGCATCACCAACTCACATACAAAATGAGTAAAAAAAAGAAAGTGGAACATCAATCACGTTATTTATATAGCAATATTTGAAAATAATGCTACAAAGTGCTTTACAATAAAACAAATTCAAACAGATAACTAAGATCCCAAACATGCAACATAAACCAGACAAATGAATTAAGTCACATCAAGTCAATGTTTTTTTATACACCACAATAACGACAACAGCATCAAGCACTATCCAGTAAAAAAACAACAACAACAACAACATTATGTTAAATGTTTGGGTTAAGACTCTACAGTGTTACTTATGGTGTGACTTTACCCGAGTAATTTAAATAGGATATTTAGATATTATTAATGCTGAGACCCTACAGTGTTATTAATTATGTAGAATAATTAAGTTACTGTAATAATAAAGCAAAGACCCTACAGTATTATGAATTGATATACTATCATAAGACTACAGTATGAACATGTCGGCTCCTTTCTTTGATTTTCCAAACAGCTGCAGCATCACACAGATCCAGACTGTCTCCCCACTGACAGCAGCGGCAGTAACTTCATGAATTATTTAGTTATTTATCTTCTGCTGTGTCACTGTGATCATACGTGGCTTTATGAGCCGAATTTCTTTTCTCCAGACAGCTGAGCTGCTGCACAGATCAACAGCTTCTACAGTGAAATCACTGGAACAAAGCGGTCATGCTCAGGATGAATCCGCACTTTTTATTTTCAGCAAAGGTCCAAAAATAGTTCCCTTAATGATTTACTACAGAGCATCTTCAGTTTTGTTCCTAAAACGCAGCAATATCTGCAGTGGTGGTGTCCCAGCAAGCATGGGACACATCTAATTACTAAAGTAAAAAGAAAATATATTATTTATTAAAACATAGAAATTAAAAATAGTGATTTGCCACTGCAGTGTATATGGCTGCAGGCCTGTATATTTAGGCTGTATTACTGTCATTTGGTACTTCAGAACTTTAGATTTAAAATGTTGCTTCATTAAAACTGTTAGAAAGGTACAGAAATTACAATAATAAAATGGGTGTCTGTCTATTTAGGGAGTTACATTTAATTTGAGGGGTCTGATTCTGAAAAGCCACCTAACCTGTGGAGGTAAATTCAGTTTTTACTTTGGAAAATGACATTTAGAAAATGAAACTTTTCATAAATTGAGCTGTTCCCCATATAGAATGTGTACTATGTTAACTAGAACTGCTTTCTACTGAAGAAATTGTCTTTTTTTTCTACTGTCTGCAGTTGCTCCTCCTTAAAAATCCCAATTTATAAACTGCTTATCACTCTTTAATTATCTGACACACAACCATACTCTCTGTTTCAGCCTGTAACAGGTGTCATACTTTGATAAAATAGTGAGACTCTTCTATTAACTGGTTAATCTGTAACAGTACATCACATTTTTAAAGTAATAACATACTCTCGGTGTTAAATCCTATTTTTTATATAATAAATGTGCAATATTTAATGATATTATGCCATCAAACAATCACAGAGAGGCTACAATCACAACATTTCTCTATAAATATTAGTATAACAGAGGTGTGCAGTGACAGATAGTGGAAACACTCATGTCATAGTTATTAACAGACCAGGTTTTAAACTCACCGCTGTGTCTCTGCCCTGCTTCTTCTTCGGTCTGTTTGTAGTCGGCATTATATCACCTCTCAGAAAAACTCTCACACTCGCTGTACAGTGGAATAAATAAGTGTTGACATTAAAGTTTTAAGGTTTTGCTCGCAGTCCACCGACCAAAACATTTCAAACATCCGCCACACGGTTAAAAACTTCCGGGTTCTCTTCCGGCTGCCCTCCGGCGCCCCCTGTCGTCCGGAGGCTGCGACTGCCGTTCAGAAGTCCATCCAGAAAAATGCGATTTTTAGTGGCGGCCTTGACACTGTGATACTCAGCGTTGACGCTCTTTATTGGGACTTAATTGTGATCGTTATTATTTATGTGCAGTACGTACTTGTTATTGTAATCCATTCTGCTTCTCTGAACAAGCACAAATACAACATCAGCACATTTCTACTTGTTTTAATGTTCGCTGGTAGTTTTGATTTAAAGATTTTAAGGTTGTTAATATTATTATTGTTCAGGATTCAGATAATGTAACACCAGTTGGTGTTTAATATGATAGAACTTTGCATTATTTGTTATTTTGGACCCAAACTAAGGTATTATAGGAACCCCTGACAAGAGGCAACCACAGAGTAATCTGTCCCATCTCTGTGTCTGTGAACAGTCTCCAGCTCGAGTGCTGAGGTCAGTTGATATTTTACAGGTGAGCTAGGAATGGCATCTCCTCGGAATGATTAGATTTTAGGGTCAGTTGGCGTAAAAACAGCTCCACTAGAGGTCAAAGGTCACTTTTCAAAAATGCCATATACCTTCAAAAGGGTGGAAGGCACATCTATGGTCTTTTAGCGAATATAAGCAACCATGTTGGGGCTTTCTGTAGGTGCAGGACTACATTCCCCAACATCAAAAGTGGAAACCGCAGCCAAATGCAGCTCTGAGACACTATGGTGCCATCCATCTTCCAGAGATGGTGGACGAAATACATGCATCAAGGTGTTGCTGAAAGAGCAAAGCATATGTGATGTGCACGAAGTGCAAGGTATTCCTTTGTGTTTCTAAGAAGGGGAAATGCTTTTCATGAAGTATCAAACAAAAAACAAAAGTGATGATGGACAATTATGTGGATGTTGACTTTTTTGTATTTTCTTTGGTACCAACTGATTGCCATCAAGGTTCAGTTTCACATGTATGGCATTCAGATGTCCTATGTAGTGCACACTGATATCATACTTTTTTTTTCCCAAAAAAATGTTTTCAGTTATTAATTACCTTACAAAGATTGCAGGTTTATTATTATTATTTTGGGCCTTTTTGCCTTTATTAGATAGGACAGTCAAAAGAGAGAGAGACAGGAAAGTGGGGGAGAAGAATGGGGGAAGGAATGGCCATGAGCAGGACTCAAACCCATGGTCACTGCATTGGCCCGTGGATATGGGTCGCCAGCTCAACCAGTTGAGCTACAGTGGCGGCCCGAGATTGGGAATTTAAAAAAATTTGTGATTGGACAATTTTTTTCCCCTGGTAGTCAGGAGGATATACTTCTGGAAGCCTTTAGGGAATGTTCACCAGAGGCTCACTTAATTTTTTTTCAATAATTACCCTCAGGGAACCTTTCAGGAACCCTCCCAAGAGCTTATCTTATGGATGTTCAACATTTGTAAACTTCTGGGAGCCTTCAGGGAATGTTTCCTGGAGGTTCTCTAAAGATTTTTTCAGAAATTAGAACCTTTTGGGAACTCTCAGGGAAAGAGGCTCACTAGAGGCTCACTAAAAATCTTTCACATCTGGGAGCCTTTAGGGAATTTTCCTGAGAGGATATGAAGAGTTCTTAAATAACTCAAACAAATAACTCAATTTTTGTAGATTTTTTAGAAAACGTTTTGTTGTTGTTGTTTGCTTGAGATAATATCAATCAAACTGAAGCTGAGTGGATTTGACTCAGTTGAAATGACATGACAAAAGTAGAGATAACTTAAGTTTGATTAATGTTGTCTCGGGTCGACGATGGAAAAGTGGGTTTCCTGAAGGTTTGTGAAGATAGAACTATCTGCTTTTGCAAATGAACTCTTCATATATTAAGGGTTTTCAGGAATTAGAACCTTTAGAGAACTTTCAATAAACATTACCAAAACATTTGATAATCAAGGAACCTTTGAGGTATGTTTCAAGTTTTTCAAGAAAAATAACCTTTTGTGAACTTCTAGAAAATGTTTAGGAAAGGGTCTCCAGAGGTTATCTCTAAAGTTTTTTTGTTTTTTTTTAAAAGAATAATGACCTTCAGAGAACCCTTGGTGAATATTCCCCAGAGGTTCAAATAAAGTTCTGCAATGATAACTTTCTGGGACTGTTCCATATAGTTTATCTAAAGATTTTTAAATAATAATAATTTTCATGCAGTGTTTCCCAGTGGCTATCGAAAGGTTTTTCAAGAATATGAACTTTCAGGGAACCTTTGTTGAATGTTCGTCAGAGGTTGTCTAAAGCTTTTCCAAGAATAATAACCCCAAGGATCATTCAGAAAACATTCCCTAGATGTTATCAGAAGGTTTTCAATAATAGAGGCTTCATGGAATGTTCCCCAAAGATTATCCAAATCATTTTCAAGAACAATAACCGTTTAGGAACATTCAGAAAACGTCTGTGGTGGTTATCTTAAGGTTTTTAATTAAGAGTAACCATATTCTCTAGAGTTTATCTGAAAGTTTAATCAAATTAACCATCTTGTTATGTTCCTAAAATGTTTGCTCCAGATTAGAAAAAAGATGTCACCGAATGGGAACCTTTAAGGAACATTCCTGAAAGGTTATCTGTTTGCTGTGAATAATTAATTTCTATTTAAGTGTAATTATTATTACTTGTCGTTCTATTTTCTTCAATATCTCAGAACGTGTGTTTTGTGACTGGTATAGGTTCCAATCGAATAATTTTAAAGCAGAAGAAAATTTTTAAAAAATCCACCGGCTGACTGACTGCGGTTCTTCCTCCTTCTCAGATTGACAATGCGGCACTCAGTGCGCCTGCGCAGCTTTACAGGAAGTGTTAACATTTTGTTGAACCAGCTGATAGCCAAATTGTCAACAGTTAAACCTGCGGTACCTGCGCTGCTGAAACGACGCTGTTTTACGGTAAATATGATGTGTTCTCCTCTTTCTGTGTTATTCGGGTGAACAGGTAGCACCGCTGGGTTTCACTGGGCGTCGAAATATGAAGCTTTGGTTCAGTTTCGTCTCGTCCGGACCGCCTGGTCGGAGCGGTGTCCCGTTAGCACATAACGCAGGACAAAGCTGCTGATCTGATAACATTAACTGTGGGAGGAACCGCTATAAACAACGAGCCGCTGCCGTTATGCCGTCTGTCTGTCTGCAGTCTGTCTGTCCGGACGCCGAGCAGCATGAAGCCAGCTGAGTTCTGTGTCAGTAATTTGCTGCAGTGATGGAGGTTTAGCTTCGTGTCTGTGAGCTACCAGAGGCGCTGCATCACCTGTAAACTCCAGTTTCACTGCTGGAACACAGCTGGCAGATTTTCCCTCACATCTGTAATTTACTGAACACAGCAGCAATTCCAGACTGCCACATGTACAACAATGCAGCGACAAATCACACTGGATTTCATGTCAGATTTTCATCCAGAGGTGTTGCTGGGATCTTATCACATTAGGAGCCCACAGTTTAACCTGATGATTGCACCACTTTCAAGTAAAATCAATATAAAATGTACAACACTGGCAAAGTGAGGTCATCCCACTTTCACTGTAAGCTCAGACTATGTTTTACGTTAATATGACAGTGAGTGCAGCCCAGCTGGACCAGCTATACTCTATATACAAAGATTTGTCTTGCGACAAAAATGTTAGAGAACCATTGAACTGCACCCGAGTTGCCAGTTTTAGCGACAAGCTGGCATGCAGTTGGTATATCTTAAAGGTTATTAATGCTAATTTTAGTTTTAAATGCAAATTGGTTGCATTTTGGATGACCAAACCGTTAAAGTCCAGGAGATAAACTGCAGGTGCTGGTGAGGACAGAAAGCTCACCTATAAAGTCTCATAACACATTAAACCAAATAAGTAACTTATATTAGTCAGCACAAATCCGCTGTCAGATTAACAAAACACTGGAAATTCTGTCTATCTGTGGCCTAATAAGAATTACAGGAGATGACTCCTCCTGCACCTTGTCAGCCATCTAGTCTTGCCTCAGTGAATTAGAAACCAGCATTGCTAACCCCTGTAACCAGCGAGCTCTGTCTCTTGTGTACTCACACAACATATGAGTGCCAAGTCAAGTAAAGCTGCTTGAAAGATACACTGAGGACCCACAACGTATGCTGCTGTCATTTTTGAGGAATGATATCATCTTATTTTCAAGGGCGGAATGACAGATGAAGAGATCTGGGCCTTTTTAGTTTTCTTGTTTTTAAAATTCGGGGTTATGGCTTCACAACAACACCACTGTCTCAATTCTTCCATAAAAGCCTAAATCTTTAGATTTTATGGATGCACTGGATTAGACTTTTATTGTATGAGGTGAGGTTTAGTTGTCATTTAGTTCAGACGGACATTATTATTCTGCTCAGGAGACATCAGAAGGTCGTTCGCTGTCTAGTGATGGTGACATTGAGTTTATTACCTGTTGTATATGTTTACATAAGGAACAGAGTAGAATAGTATCTTTAATAATAAAAAGTTGTATTATTTTTTTCAGTATGCAAACATGGGACTGGTTTGGAAAGAGTTTCATGTCCCTTTTAAGGCTATAATTAAGTGAAAGAGTTGTTAACTGACTTCTTTTCTCAGGTATTTAAGCAGTGAAGTTACTATATTGATGTATCACGTTTGTTAGACAGGTTTTTGAGTTGATTGTAGGCAGGGCTCCAGAGTGCAACCAAAATATGTCTGGTATGACTAAACATTTTTGGTATGTCAGACATTTAACTGTCTGTTGGTGTGCTTCTGGCTGACCCACTCAGGAAGTTACAATCTGAAATTAAAGCACCTTATTTTGCTCTTTTCCAACTAGAATTTTGGTCTCACACCTGTCTGAGTTGCTGCACTGCAGTAAGTGTGTGGAGACTAGAAGCTTCTCTGTGCACAGCTGCCAAGTAACGTCTACTGATGTAAGTGAGGCGTTTAGGAACATCAATATATTGTAGCTTCACAAAACAACCTGGATTACATTCCCCCTCTAAACTGCATGAGTTTCGGGGTGGTGGGAATCAATAGTCGGCTAGTCGGCTATTCGGCTATTCGGCTATTCGGGTCCAGCCCTAACTGTTATACGGTAAAATGTACAAATATTATACATTTATTGCAAAGAGCATAGAGCAAAGCATGCTGGGAACAGAGCTTTTGCTGTCTGAATTGGAAAAAACAGCACAAAACCTCCAAGACGCTCGTCCTGTGGTGTGACAGGTTTGTGGCTGATGGAGCAGCCCTGCAGAGTTTCAGCTCCAGACAGCAACCAACTGAAGCAGTGAGGAGTCAGAAAGGACAATAAAATTTAACATTGCCTACAATAAAGCCAAAGAAGAGCTGCCTTTAGGTCAAAGTTGCAGATCATCCTGATGAAAAAGAACAAACTAGTTATCTAAACTTTTTTATTTTATTTTATTATTTTTTTTACTGTTTACAATTAAAATACTTCATGTGTTACGAAACTACCAATACATGTGAGGTCAAGATGTAATATTCAGTGCCAAAAAGCATCGTGAGAAGTTTTTAGTGCTCCTAAATTATGTGCTGATGCATCAGTGCAACCAATATGAGAAGCAGGGCTGCGTTTGCAATATCTGCACTCTCATACTATATAGTATGCCAATAAGAGATTTAGTATGTCCCAATACGTAATATGTTAAATGTAAAAGGCTTAAAAAACAACATGTCCTACCACGTCAGCCAGCATGTTTTTCTGGCCATTCTGACCCACATTCCTCTACATAGTTACGTCACATACGTTGCTTTGTTGCACACGAGTATAAACAACTGGTTACACATCGCCAGCAACGGTCAATAAACACTGAAGGATAAATGTTTAAAAGTACTCTTTTAAAAGAAACACGCAAACCATAAATAACATTTCTGTGTTGATTTTAAATTGTCCTCCACAAGTATGTCAGACCCAGAATTTTGTTATCTGTCTCCTTGGTCACCAAAAATGTGCAGTTGTGTTATGCAAGAGTCTTTTTGTGACTATGAATGTGATGGATGTGTATTGAAGCATTGTTAAAATATTAATGGTAACCCCAGGAAGAGCAGAAGGTGTGGTAGGTAATGGAGATCTAAATAAAACACATCAGAGATGGTAAATGTGAAGCAATGCAGCCGCAATTTAAATTTCTCTCATGCTAAGACGACCCCCACTGCTTCTTTAAAAACACAGTTTATTAAACTGCACTGAAGGAGGTGTTTGTGGCATTGAAAACAAAATAAAACAGTCTGAGGTGTAAGTACGACGTCCTCGATTGCATGTCGAGCCTCCATCTTACAAAGCCCTAATCTTTAGACATTATGGATCCCCTGAGGAGCTTTTCTGGCCTTTTGTGTGGATGAGGTAAAGTGTGATGTCATCTTGCACCAAATAAAAGCCTTCACTTCTCCACACAGACAGAACAAGAAGAGGTCAAGACATCATCAGCGAGACTCAACCACTGTCGGTTTGGGAGGTAGCGCAAGTGACCGATAATCCCAGAAGCAGCTGTCTTGGCTCCAGGGAGGAGGCCCAGCCGCCCTGCTGTCGGTCGGTATGAGCTCCAGAGGGGGCGGCGGCCGCTCCAACGGCACACTTCCACAGACCAAGATCTGCCAGTTCAAGCTGGTGCTGCTGGGCGACATGGCCGTTGGCAAGTCTAGCCTGGTGCTGCGATTCGTCAAAGGACAATTCGACGAGTTCCAGGAGACGACCATCGGAGGTGAGGACCCCAAATAGTTTCTGGGTGTCTTTGTTGATCCTGTCACATTTTTCTCACTGTGGGCTCTTTTTTTTGCTGCAATATAAAGTTTTGCACCTCTGTGGAAACAACAGCCATAGGTTGAAGGACACGAAATCAGAAATGTGTT